ATATAACACAAGAGAGAAAAAAAATCGGTACAGTATCTTTCTTTTTAATGTGGAGTCTTACCTTAAAGAATCGTTTCTTTTTTTCTTACGAATTTATGTATCACGAAAAAAGGTATCGCTCTAATCAAAAAGAAAGATTCTTAGGATTTAAAAAAATGTACAACGGGGCGTATAAACGATTGCGTAACTACGATTTATCATTTTTCTTTTTTTTCATCTATTATATGTCCATATTTCTTCTTCGTTTGGGAGTAGTCATCTCTCTTCTTTCTGTGTTTCTTTTTTTCAAACGCATTCGACCAATCATTCCATTCGTATGTGTATCTGTGTGTGTGTCTCTGTGTATGTGTGTGTCCATACTTGTGTGTATGTTTAGATATTATTTATTTATAAAGCCCACTCTCATTGTTTGTTTTTTTGGAATAGGAACAACCAACCAAATCTCCTCGTGTTTTCTTCTTTCGTTCTTTCATCTCTGTGTGTGTAATCGTTAATCGTTATTAGTCATGATAATAAGTAATTAATCGTTAATTATTTTGAATAAAGTAACACGATGTGATCGCATACGCGCCCGCAGGCGCACGGAGTACAAATATTCATGGAATATTTGTCGCTTCTTTTTAGAGGTCATGCGAGGATCCACCACAGTTTTTTCATCTTCCCTTCAACTGTCCTCTTTTCCACCTTGTTTTAGATAATTGTCCACGTTTTCTTTACACCATACAATATATATATATATATGTATGTATGTATATATATATATATATATGTACTTATATATATTATATATAATCCGATTTTTATTAGCATATATATATATATATACTAATATTATACTAAAGCCTATTAGTATATATATATAGTATAAATATATATACACACGCGCACACGCTAGGTTCTTTCTCAACAGTCACGCCTCATTCATACTTGTCATACACATTTTAATTTTATTTTTTAGAAAGAGAGAGGAACCGTTTGAAAGTTTTTCATTACCCTCTCTTCTGTATTTCATATTTCACTGAATAAATTTTGTTTTATTCACTTAGAAATTTATGATTCGCTGCTTTCCACGTTCTTCTCACACTTTTCTTCTTACTCTTCGTCTCGTTTCCATTCACAAAGACTTCTTATCACATTTGTTTCTTTCCCTCTTCTATTCTTCTCAGACACTATTATTATTATTTCTTTAAAATTGAGAGTCAGCACACACTGTTATTACAAGGAACGATAATACAATTATTTTTTTAAGAACACAATCTCTTTCCCATTCTTTTTCTTTTTCATTTTGTCATGCTAACAAGGTAGAATAACAATGCTCCTTTAATTATTATTGTTAATTAAAAAGACGCAAGGTTTTTCTTCTTTCCTGGATTCTTGCGACCAGTCTCGCATCTCTCTTTTTTTCCAAATTATTCTTTTAACTGCCTGTATGTATTTTTAATTATACAAGGTGTGTCCGTGTGTTTATGTGTGTGTATAGTGGCGATAGTGGAAAAATGGTAGTGATAGTGACAGTGATAGAATGGTGGTGGGGAGGGGCAGGGTAGGGAGGAGAGGTGATATACTATTTCGGTTTTTCATCATTTTCTTTTCTTCCATATTTACACTTCGTTTATATAGCGATTGCTATGTATATATATATATATGTATATATACACACACACGTATATATATAAATATGTATATAAATTGAAAGAGATATATATATACATATGCAAATATATACATGTGTGTAAATTCCTAAGAATGAGATGGTGTGCAAAGATTTTTATCAATGTTCAAGATTTGGCATGTATCAGCGTTTTTTCTTTTCCGTTAATTAACATTATTATTAATATTAATATTTTGTCCGTAATCAATCGTTATCATCATTATTATTGTGATTATTGTTGCTGTTGTAGTTCGTTTCTACTACGAACTGCTCGACGCGTTCATGCCACTGAACATACCACCGATACTGAACGAGGTCTGTTGCTGTTGTTGTATCTGTTGCTGCTGTTGCTGCTGCTGTTGCTGATTGTTCGCCTGTCGGCCATGCTTTGGCACCGGTGGCTGCAAGTATTCGTGTCTGGCTAACGTTAATACGTCGATACGCTCCTCTTTCCGGTACGCCAGACAACTCCTTATAAAACTCTGCAAAAGAAAATCAGCAATTCAGTATTGAAAGGTTTATAATATACTTTAATACAGCAAATGTAATTCGTGAACTTATGAACTAAATGAAAAAAAATAAACTATACCTTTGCTTCGTTGCTAACAGTCGGTTTATTCGCGAATTGAACTTCGGTAGCCTTCAAAATCGTGTTTTCTTCTAGAATTGTCGCTTGAGACTGATTATGTCCAAATGGCTGCAAAAATAAGGACCGTTCGAATAAATATCTTAAGTCGATGGTTATAATCTAATTGTTGATGAATGGAGAATGAGTATATACCTTCTTGCCGTAGAGACATTGGTAAAATATAACTCCCACACTCCAGACGTCGACTTTCGACGAGATTTTTGGGGGATTTTTGCCGATAACAAAACACTCCGGCGGTAAGTACCTAAATTGAAAAAGAAATTGTTTTGGAACCAATTTTTAATTAATGAAATAGTTCGAATTCAACATTTAGCTTGAGTAAAAACTATACGCACCAATAGGTACCGGCTCCTTGTGACGTTAAATCCATTCCGTGGTCCGGATTGTAATTTTCCTCATCCATAACTTTACTTAATCCGAAGTCCGTGATTTTTATTTCACCGCAAACGTTGCCCTCAGTTAATAATATATTACCTAAAAATTATGAAATTATATGTTTGGAGAAATTGATATTTAATGTATATTAAATATACATTAGAGTTGGTCATACCTGGCTTTAAATCGTAGTGTATGACTGGGGGTTTTATTTCATTGAGGTACTTTAATGCGGAGACAACCTGCATCACGATGGATCTAGCTTCCCTTTCGGGTATAGTCTTATGCTGAAAGGGATTAGATTAATTTATAACACGATATAAAAACAAATAGAGACAAGTAAATGAGGGTATGAATTACCTGTTTGAGGTAAAAATCTAAATCGTGGCCGTCACAGTATTCCAATACAGTGCAAAACGAATTCGCATCGATTTCAAATACGTCGTACAGCTTCACGACGCGGGGGTGATCGAGGGCCTTATGTATATTGTATTCTCGTAACGCGTGCCTGTTTGAAATAAGTAATCCAAGAAATAAAATACAAATTGAAGGATTTAATTAATCTCATGACTTTGTGACTTACTTAATATAATTAGCTTTCTTATCTTCTTTCCAGTCTTTATTCAGTTGATGGACCTTACAGGCGACGTATCGTTGCTCCTTTAAATCGAATGCCTAAACGGCAAATAACGAATGACAATAAGAACGACGAAGCGTATCAAATATTTGATACTTCACAATTGATATGATTTATTTTATCTGAACCTTATGTACTTCGCTGAAGCCGCCCTTTCCCAACAGCATCAGCAATAGGTAACGTTCGTTCAATACAGGATGCGAATTGAATCTCGATTGGTCCTCGTTGTGAATGCGTTTCAGTTCCCTTATATGCAGGTTCCTCTCCCTCTCGAGCTTCTCCATTTCCAACTGAAGATCGGCGTCTTCCTTCTTCAACGCGCTTTGTCTTAACTGTGAATCAAACCAATGTAATATATGTAATATAATCGAAAAATTGAATCGTACTCAAATGAAAAATGGTTAGATACCTTGAGTATTTCGTCGGCCTCATAATACTCCTGCCACGTGTAAGAACCAGGTACCGCATCCGGTTTAAGGAACGTGGCCTCGGTACCGTTGTGCAACGAGGGCTGAGGTTGACTGCGTTTCCTCCCCGTTTCACTATTCGACGGCCTCTTCTTCAGTAACAACTTCTTCTGCTTATCGATCTCCTCCCGTTCGGTCGCGATTTCCTCCTGCCGTCGCGCCAACTCTTGAAACGCATAACCGTCCGTCCAATTCTCTTGAAACGTCGCCCCCACCCTCTGCGTAACGAATTGCCCCAACCTCAGCCTGTTCTGCATACACTTTTGCCTAGCCTCTTTCTTCTCTATATTCGACTTCTCTTTCAACAACTTTTTTACAACGTCTATACACTTATTTATATGGGATTTGTGCTGCTCGATCAGCTTCTGCTGATTAGCCATTTGATGCCTAAGTTCATCCGTTGTCTATAAGAACAAAGCAAATATTTATACTAGAAATTGAAATGTGAACAGAAAAAATATTGTCCTATATAATGTTATAAATTATTGCAATCATAAAAACACTTTTAGGAATTAAAATGTCTGATGAGATAGAGTGTGAAAATATCATTATCATAATTTTATGATTCCACTTACTCTATTTAATTCGTCAATTTTGTTATTACGTAATTCTAAATCCGATGTAGCTTGAGTTTCGAATTCCTGTATCCTCTGGCAAGTGAGTTCCGTCTGAAAATTTAATTTCGAACACATTTTTGTTAATAAACTAAAGGGAAATCCGCCTGTAACATCTGATATACATTTGTCAGCATAGTCTTTTTTATAAAATACCTTGCTGGAATTTTTACAATTAACTGTTTCACGTTGTTTAACATTTTTCTTACTTGCAATTATCTGCATTGTAACTACAATTATAATTTTATGTTTGACAATTTTTATAGAAAATGGGAAGTTATTCTCTAAATAGACAGATGATAATTATTCATAATAATTTATATACTAGCTTTCTGATAGTATAGACAAAATTTTGGTTACTCACTTTCTACAAAATAAAATGTATCAACAAAATGGATCATTGAATCCTTTACTGAAAGATTATTCAATTTTTTAACGAACATAAATTCGAGACTAATTTTAATACATTAAAGATCGATACAGGGCCTTAATATGTTTTGTTTCGATTTAATATGAAACTCATAGAATTACAGGCAGCAAGAAAAACACCAAAAATGTACGAAACAATTCGAGATATAATAAATACGTAAAATAGAAAGAAACATTACTGTTTGCCAAACTAAATATTATGTATGCGTAGTAAACTGTAATAAACATGCATACCTTTCACTTAACAAATTTAAAACAAACTAAATCGACCTTTTTCTGTTTAAATTTGATAAATAATTCAAAATTTTGAATAAGATGGTATCCTATGGTAACAAATGGATACAGTGCTACAGGCCAGCTGGAAAATTGGCTTTTCAAGTTTACTGCAAACATCTGATAAGAAACTAGCCCACTAACGAAGATGTTATGTGAAGTTTCGAGAAGATCCATAAAATACAATATTATCGTAAAATATACTCTCTTACACAACATGTTATTGAATAAAGTTAGTAAATGATCTTAATAAATTATGAATCTTACAATTAAAATTAGATATCTATATGTACAAGGACTATTACTTGCTACTTTATAAGGTATAAACGTTTTAATCCTAACGATCTCTGTCCAAATTATACA